TATATATATATATATATTATTTAGAGACAGGGTCTTGCTGAATTTCTGAGGGTCTCATTAAGTTACCGAGCTGGCTTTGTGTGAGGACAAGTACATGAAATACTGCATACATGGCCTATGTTAAGGGCATCTGAGTGGCAGGCCACTCCCCTCATACTAGGCACCTGAGCAGCAGGCTGCTTACCCATAGGCACAGTCCTGGGCATGAGGCCATGTGTTGCAGTCCCTTCACTTGCTCCATGGTCCACTCCTCCACTGGTTGCTGCAGGGACAGTTAGCAAGAAATTGTATTGGTGGCTGCCTATATTCTGCCTAGGTACTGCCAGAGTATATATAGTTGTTAGCTGTGCAATAAAATCAGACCTGCTTCCTGCTTGGTCCACAGCCACACTCTCCTCTACCCTGTGCCGTGGACCTCCTCGCTGAATGAGAGAGACCCCTCAGCTTTGAACTCAAAATACTCCAGGCTCAGCCTCCAGAGCTGCTGGGAATACAGCATGCACCACCATGTGCCTGGCCACTTAATTTACCTATTTGAAATTCTCCCTATCTTGTCCCCCAAATTTAGTTGCATTAGAAGTCATGATCTTTCCAGGGAACATTTTATCAGGCCATGACCAACGTGCACCTTCTTTTTTCTTCTGTTATTGTCTGCATCTTTTCTCATTCTTCATTCCCACTCCTCCCCTTCCTTATTTCCAAACTTTCCTCTCATCTAAACAGGTCTGGAAGTAGACCTAATAATTCAGCTCCTCTAGGGACACTCCAGCTTACCCTGTGGTTGCAACTTGATAAGATACACTATTTCAATCCCCTTACTATTTCTTATTTTCATTCTTCCACTATTAAAACATGCAAGTGCTCATGTCCTACGTAAGCATTCTATCCATGATTTTATAATGAGTGGTCCTTACCGTCTATATGTCCATTTACATCATCTTTTGCAGTTTGATGTGCATCACCAGGCAAATGGCCTACAACATTCTGAGGAATCTGAGTGACAATCTGGTAAAATTAATATCACTAATGAGCTGCATGAAGATTTTCTAATCATTATTCTAAGGAGACACCTAATTTTCCAGATTTGATATAAATTAGACTTAAAAACTAGAGAAGTACACATTGAAAATTGAAAGATTTTATAACAGAGTCCTATGTCCTCTGAAAAATCAGCCAAATAGAAAATTACTTACCAAGACCACACTGATGTGCATATTTCCACAAGAAAATAACTTCATTACACCTAACCCTACTGATCACTTACCACTAAAAATAAGAGGACCTTATAACATATATAACATATATAATATGTATAACTGTGTAACTTGTATACACACATACATATACGTATATATAAAATATGTAATATGCTATCTATCATTAAACATTTTAAACATTCTAATTATGAGCTTTTAGTATTGAACTAAGATATTTTGTTATAGGGACTGAATTATATCACATCAATTAGAAAAGAAGCCATGTTCTCACTATTTTATTCAGGTAAGCAAAGGCTTAAAGAAATCTAGATATCTTTTCATCAAACTTTTACTGATAGGGAAACTAGTTTAATAAAACAACCTTTTTTTAAAAAGGTTTTCTTTCTTTTTCCAATATATGAAGGTAGAGTATTCATCAGTTTCCACTCCAAAAAATTACAAAAAATTATGGTTATGGGTCAACCAAGGGATAGAAACAGAGGTGAGTTTCAATTAAATGTGCCTGTAGGAACTATGTGACAGTGAGTGTCGGGATTGGTTCTGGTAGAAAACTTGCTGCTACAATCTCCAGAAAGGAGTGCTACAATCTCCCAGGTCTGGCCATGTCACTCTGCTGAGAGGCATGTGAAGGAAGAACTAAAGCAATTATAGTCACTTCCTTGGCGATTCAAGGAGGGGTTTCCCCTTTTAGAAAGGTCCCCATGCTGGGACTTTGTCTTTGAGAGGTCAGAATCTCTGCATGTTTTATATCTCCAAGACACAGTGACTGCCTCTCTTTACTGGAATTGTGGGTGCCCACCATTTTTGTTCAGATTAACAGGGATGTGTTGAAAGCTTTGGTCAGCAGGAAGAAGCAGGGTGTGCTGGTTGGCCGCCTTATAAAATGAAGGGCAGTGGGAACATCTCCCTGTTAAAACAGATGTTTTGAGATTAGTAACAGAAAAGAAGATGAGTCGTGTATGATTCTGTGGGGCAGAACATTTTTGGAGTGCTTGGAAAAGTCTTGTGAAAAGCCTATTTCCCGAATCTCTTCCAACCAAGCACAGGTCCTGCATGCAGCCCACCTCTACCATGCTTAGACAAAGTGGGGCCAAACACCACAGGGACTTGGAATCTTGCATGATCCTGAGCTCACTGAAAGGAGAAGTCTTGAATTGGGGTTTTCAGCACAGACTGACCACAGGATCCATGTGTGAGATTTTTGTTGACAGCTCCCTACTATATCCAGAGTTCCATCCCCGGTACCCAAAAACCAATATCGTGAATGATTTACCTCTTCATATGAAAATGGTCCTATAACACTTCCTGGTAGGCACGGATGAAATTTTTCCACATTCAAGACTCTAAAACCAGTATTGGCCTGTTTGGGCTAGAATGAGAAGAAACCAGTACAACTATAGGTGCTCCCCAGAAACACCCCCAAAATGGTGAATTCTAAAACTAGAAGTTGGGGAAGAAAGTGTCTACATTTGAATTACATCAGATAAGAAAATCACATACTTTTCTTGGCACAGCAATTTTTAAGTGACTTTTTATGTATCACTTGTTTTTTCACTTTCTATTTATATAATCTTTTAATTCTTTTATTTTCTTTGAACTTGTTTTCTTATTTTTCATTTATATTTGCACCATTTTTCTTTTTCATTTGTCATCCTTATTCTCCTTTCTTCCATCTTACCAGTTTTTTTTTTCCTATATACTTTAGTATTAATTTTAGAATCACTAATGCCTAAATTTTGGGCATTGTGTATTCTTACCAATTCTTCATTGGATACTGGAATTGTAGAGATCATTTTTAAAAGTTTTTGCTTTGGTTATAAATCAACATGTGCTTTGCTTCTAAGTTTTGGCTATTACTGGTGGTTATTCTTTCCTCCTAAAGTGCTTTGGGTTAGTGGTCCCAGCATTTCTTTCAATGAGTTGGGGCTTTGAAAATAGAACCTACACTCCATCCAGGGCATATACAAAGAGAAATCTGCTCAACAAAATGACCCACATCTAAGAGGGGAAGAAAAATCTATTTGAACATCTGCATGTTAAAACAGGAAACATGAGAGAGCAAGGCACTAATACCCAAAGTGCCTAATTCTTCAGTAACTGAATCCACATACATTGATGTGTAGGGTATACTAAGCAAATAATTCAAACAATTTATTATGAAAATAGTTTAAGGAACTGAAGGACTAAGAAATAATTTAATGAAGGCAATCCAGGTTTTGAAAGAGCATTCCCACAAGGAAATAGAGTTTCTGAAAAAAATAGCAAGGCAGAAAATTTGGAAATGATAAGTTTATTAACTCAAATAAAATTCCAAATGGAAAGTACTGCCAGTATATGACATCAGGCAGAAGGAAAAATGTTAAGTTTTGAAGACAAAGTGGATGAAGTAGAACTTTATTACAATAATAAAAAGAAGAGACTTTAAAAAGAACATTCAAGCATTCTAGGACAACTTTAAAAGACCAATTGCGACTAAGGTCTTGAAGGAAGGAGTGTATATACAGACTAAAGACATAGAAAACTTATTAGATGAACTCACACCATAGTACATAGGTGAATTATAGATTCCATGTGGTCCAATTCAAATTCAAATGATTTTCTTCACAGCAATGGGAAAAAAATTACTCCTGATTTTTATGGAAGAAAAAAAAGACTTAGACAAAGTGATGCTGATCATAAGGGCAACGATGGATAAACTACAATGCCCAAATTCAAAATATAAAACAGAGCCATGGTAACAAAAACCATGGTCCTGGTGCAAAGAAGAGAAGTCAGAGAGCCAAATCCACATAGGTACAGTCATGTGATTCTAAGCAAAAATGCCAAAAACATGTTGGAGAAAAGACAAAAGACACTTTAGAAATAGTGTTGGGAAAACTAGATATCCATATGCAGCAGAAGAAAACTAGATGCCTATTTTCTAACACTGTACAAGAGTTTATTCAAAAAGGATTAAAGACATAACTACCAGACTAGAAACTACAACAACTAGAAGAAAATATATGGAAAACACTTCAGTATGTAGGCAATGACTTCCTGAATAGAACTCCCTATGGCTCAGGAAATAAAGAGCAACAATAGATAAGACGGAGTGCATCAGACTAAAACCTTCCTGCATAGTAAGTGAAACACGTCACAGTAAGAAGACAGTAACAGTAGCCTCCAGAATGGGAGAAAAGCTTTGCCAGCTACTCTTCTGACAGATGGTTAATATCCTGAAAATATTAACTCAAACATCTTAACACTAGAAACACAAAAACCTTTTCAATCAATAAGCAAATGCACAGCTAGTTCTCAAAATAATCAGTACAAATGGCCAACACTTAGGTGAGAAAATGCATAACATCTTTACCAATCAGGGAAATGCAAATCAAAACAACATCAAGCTCCCATTTTCCACCATTCAGAAAAGTAATCATCAAGAAAGCAAATAACACTAGGAAGAATTTAGAAGAAAAAACTCTTATATGCTCTTGGCACGACCACAAATTGTTATAAATTATTATACCTCTATGGAAATCAGTATGAAGGCTACTCAAAAAACTAACATAGACCTACTTATTGATCCAACTATACTACTCTTCAGTATTAGAAAATATTTAAAGTCAGCATTCATTAGAGATACACATATGCTCATCTTTATCATGACACTATTCATAATAGGCAAGTTATAGAATCAGGATAGATGCTTGTAAAATAAGACAATGGATAAAGAAAATGTGGTAGATATACACAAGGAAGATTTCTGTGCATAGATAACAGAATGAAGTCAATTTTAGGAAAATGAATTAAACTGGGAAACATCATGTTAAACAATATGAGCCAGACTCAGAAAAAAAAATCATATATTGCTCTCATATGGAAAACTAGAGGTGGGAAATGTTCAACATGAAAATAGATGGATAATAAATTTTATCCATTAGCATAGATTAAATTGGGAGTATGGAAATGGTGATGGGCAAACTAAAATCCATATGCAACAAAATGAAATTAAACCACTATCTCTCACCATGCACCAAACTCAAAAATGGATCAAGGACCTAGGAATTAAACCAGAGACTCTGCATCTAATAAAATAAAAAGTAGGCCCTATCTTCATTATGTGGGATTAGGCCCCAACTTCCTTAATAAGACTCCTATAGCACAAGAATTAAAACCAAGAATCAATAAATGGGATGGAATCCAACTAAAAAGTTTCTTCTTGGTAAAAGAAACAATCTGTGAGGTGAACAGAGAGCCTACATCCTGGGAGTAAATTTTTACCCCTCACACATCAGATAGAGAACTAATGTCTAGGGTATATAAAGATCTCAAAAAGCTAAGCACCAAAAACAAACAAACAAACAAACAAAAACCCAAATAACCCAATCAACAAATGGGCCAAGAACCTGAACATACACTTCTCAGAAGAGGACATACAATCAATCAACAAACATATGAAAAAATGCTCATCATCTCTAGCAATTAGAGAAATGCAAATCAAAACTACTCTATCATCTCACTCCAGTCAGAATGGCAGCTATTATGAAGTCAAACCACAATAAGTGTTGGCGAGGATGTGGGGAAAAGGCACACTCATACACTGCTAGTGGGACTACAAATTGGTGCAGCCAATATGGAAAGCAGTTTGGAGATTCCTTGGAAATCTGGAAATAGAACCTCCATTTGACCTAGCTATCCCACTCCTCAGTTTATACCCAAAGGAATTAAAAACAGCATACTACAGGGACACAGCCACATCAATATTTATAGCACCAAAATTCACAATAGCTAAACTGTGGAGCCAACCTAGATGCCCTTCAGTGGATGCATGGATAAAAAAAAAAATGTGGTCTATATATACAACGAAATTTTACTCATCAATAAAAAAGAATAAAATCATAGCATTTTCAGGTAAATGGATGGAGTTGGAGAAGATAATGCTAAGTGAACTTAGTCAACCCCAAAAAACAAATGCCAAATGTTTTCTTTGATATAAGGAGGCTGACTCATAGTGGGGTAGGGAGAGGGAGCATGGGAGGAATAGATGAATTCTAGATAGGAAATAGGGGAGAGAGGGAAAGGGAGTAGTCAGGGGATTAGCAAGGATGGTGGAATGTGATGGATGTCATTATCCAAAGTACATGTATGAAGACACAAATTGGTGTCAACATACTTTATATACAACCACAGATGAAAAATTGTGCTGTATATTTGTAATGAGAATTGTAATGCATTCTTCTGTCATTTTTTTAAATCAATAAAAAAATTGGGAATAGAACCTCTGGAGGTTCTATTCTTCTAGAGGAAGGAATGTTCAAGATATGACTGGGGGAGTATAATTAATCTATATGTACATACAAATATGACACAGTGAAATTTTGTGTATACTTAAGGTGCAATTTTTAAATTTTGGCTATCTTTTTTTTAATTTTTAGAAGTTACTTTATCATGTTCATTACCCTATTACTTGTTTTGATTAGATTTATATTTTTGATTAGATTTATATTTATATGTATTTTTTATTTCATTGGTTTCTTTTTAATTATATATGACAGTAGAGTCCATTTTGATATAATTCAACAAGCATTGACTATCTTAATAGTTTCAAAACTATATTAACTGGTGCTAAATATAAATTACTTGAAGCTTTAATAAGAACAGAAGCAAAGAAAACATTGATTTCTTAAGGATCTAAAATATGCCACATTTATTTGCTTATTTTTCTATTCATTATAATCACAAAATGGTTGTGGTGGTAATCTCACACCCTGCCTCCTAGTCATTCAAGAATATCAAAGAGTAAATGATAGACATATCCAGCAGGTACTTCTCCTAAACATTCCCATGTTTGGCCTAATATTGACTCGCTGCTCCCCTTCATTTCACTACTACTTATTTTAAATATCAGCCATCTTGTCTCTCTTATTCAATATGGAAACTTATCCTTTCCTTCATAAATGAATTCTTCCTATGCATCCCTTTTTCTCAGCTTCATATTCATCAAGCTCTTCTTTTGCCTTCTTTTCTATTTCTTTCCTTCCATAAGGGCACACCAAAGAAGTGTTGATTCCCACCACATTCTGTCAATGTTAATTCTCTATATACACCTCACCTATTGTTATCCTTGTTTTCTAGTATAACCTTGTTATAGGATGTTTGTCATCATGGAAGGTGATATGTGAAAAAAATGGAAAGAGTTTTTAAAAACGCATTACCTTTAAGTCAGGGGATGGAAAGAAAGGAGAATCATTCGTTATTCTGATTTCCTGCACCAGTGTGGTTTCAACTACTTCCTTCTTTTGACTGGCAGGGGTACTGCTGTCAGGTAAGTTTTCACTCCTTCGGCTCCCAGTGTCATATTTTGCTTCTGACAATAAAAACATAATAAACAGTATATAAAAATTCTGTAATTTCAGTCAATAAGCAGCACAACAACAGGCAGTCTTCAAATAGCTTACCATCCTTCGTGGATTGCCTGGAAGCTTCAGTTAATTTTCCTCCTTCTTCCAGGATGTTCTAGGAAGAAAAAAAGATTAAGGTATAATAAAAAACCAAATTTGATGAAATAATTAATGTTCTCTACTATAGCAGGGTATACGAGAAAGAGCAGAGGTTTCTGAGTCATTCCGATGTATACTCAAACTCCAGTTCTCTCACTACCTAAGACATACCTTCTCATGTGGGAAGGATTATGAGCCTTGACAGAGATCTCCAAAATGTCACTCCCCTTATCTCCAATTGATTGTTACACAAATACTGAAATCCATTATACCATTTTCTTCAGCTGAATTGATGTAGGATAAACATTGTAGCCATCTGTATTTAGACTACTTTTGAAAAATGAGTGACATTTTGAGAAGTTATGTGTGATATTTTAAGGTGTTTTTATGACTTACATTGGCATGAATTACCTCTTGAGGGGAAAACATACAACATGAGCTTGTAGAGTATCTATTAAATGAGATTGATTGGATTCAAAAACAGTAGAAGTTTTGCCCATTTTATGTGTTAAATAGCTAAAGATAAATGCTCATACAAATTTTGCTTCTTCCAAGAAAAAGAAGAATGAAAAAAGCAATCTTGTGGGGACAATATCAATGAATAAAAACAACACAGAATTGCTAAACAGAAACATTAACTCGAACCTCGGTGACAGAGATGGCACACTGAAGAGATGTTTTCTGCAGCGAAATATTAAGTATTAGAGTAAGTTATTGTTTTAGAAAGGGATGTATGTTCTTTTTATTCCAGTACCTTCATATAATTAAGTTAACAAAACAATAAGATATAAAATACTTTAAAAAAAAACAGGTGGCACTGCCAACCACATCACCAGGTTTGCTTGGCATAGTTAACAAGACACTGAAATAAGTCGTTTTTAAAAAGATAAGCGAGAAGGAAGAACAAGCAAATCTTCATCTGAAGTCCAAATCTAAAGTCAAGTTTGAAGCAGGCTTGGAGGATATTTTGGTTCCTACTTCCATATTTATGACATTAATCTAACTTGTTTATTCCTCCACTAATTTGAGATAACTTACTCAAACTTTACATCCCATATATTAAAAGAGAATATAAATTTAAAGCATGTTTTTTAATTCAGTGGGCTTAATTAGTAGTTATCTCATGCATATTATATTACGTAGGGCATTTCACATTACTCATGTTCAACAGCAGCTTTTAGAAACGTGCATTTCTCCAGGCCAAATGAGCTCATTTAATGTAAATAATAACATAATAGCATTCTAAATGGAATACAGTATGATAGATGTATACTTATTTCCCCCAAAATAAAAATTACACCCTTCATGACTGAAATAAAATTAAAGTCATTTGAAACCTTATTCTAGCTGCTCCAGGATATTTGCAAATATATTTCCTAACTTGGAATAATTCATAAAAATGGTAGAGTTTTACAATGAATATTTAAATCACTAAATACAGAAACACCTAAAATTCAAAATTTCAGAATGTGACATAGGATTTGGATATTTTAAGAAAAACTATCATCAAAGAACAATAATTCTGAAAGTTTTTATCATACAATTATTGAGAGTCTCTGCTTCCAGAACTGGTTATTGCTTTGTACAGGCCATCTATTTTTTGATTAGATGGAGAGGAAATTTTTAGAAAAAGTTCATTACCTCACATTTGTTTTTATTTTTATTGGTTCTTTTCAGTTACACAGCACAATAGAAGTTATATACTAGGATATCATTATAAAAGCATAGAATAAAATTTGTTCTAATTCAGCATCTACTATTTCCTTCTGTTCTACTGATCTTTCTGCTACTTATAGTTTTTAAAATTAGTGTCACTTTTAGTGGAAAGACTCACAAAGTATGGATATGCAAAAGCCTTTTTTAATACAAGTATTAAGATACAGATCCTAGATTTCTGACTTGCCACAATTCCTAATATTATTTTAGTATAAATATAGAGCCAAGGATAGAAATAGAGAAAAACCTCTCCTAAAATGTTATGATACTAAAACATCAAGGGTCCAAGTAAAAAAAGCAACTTGCAATGTACATCATACATTCCAAACTAAAGGCACCAGGGAAATCCCACGATTCTATAAAAATTAATTTAGACATGGGTTGTAAGTCATGTAAGTATGATTTACAAACGACAGTAATATAAACTGACTACTCAAAAGATCCTTGACTAAATTTCACATTTCCTCTGCAGTTAGAAAGCTGTTCCTAATGCAATTTTTCTGTCACTATGTGTTTTCCAGCCCATCTTTTCTCCCTGCCCCCAAGACTCTCAGGTACTTGAGAGAACAATGATACAAACAACTTTTTAATTCAACATAATTCTCTAAAACGGATTCTTCTTAGCAAATTTTCATATAAATGTCAGAAAAAATATAGCTAAATTTTAAGCATTAACATCTTAAAATACAAAATTCAGAGCAAGAACATGAATTTCATGAAAGATCACTTTACCTTAATATGAGCTTCATAGTTGCCCTCTCCCTTTGCAAGGCAGGAATCACCTGGATCAGATTTTTCGGGAGATCTTTAGAGCAAAAATGTATAACAAGAACGGGTGAGTGGTTTTCTTTTTAAAATAAACTCTGTTTAACGTTTAGGTAAAATTTATTAAGTGGTATTTCTTGATTGATATAATTAAAATATGACCTCTTTTTTTTTTCACCTTGTTCTGCCTCTACTGCTCTGAATCTATGAGATATTCAATGAAGGCACTCTCAGTTCCAATTCAGAGTGATAGCCAATGTATTAGCAGAACCTGAGAATAATTATTCTACCTGAACTGAAACAAACCTCTGATAACCCAAGACAAGGTAGCAAGATGCACAGTTCCCTCTCCTGGATATCCATGAGTCAAATACTTCGTTCTGCACCATGGGAGTTGCCAATAAAAACACCCTATTGTTCCCCCTTTACCCAAGAGCAGTGCAGAGAGTTTGCTGAAACTTTTTAAAATTTTTGAAAGTTAAAAAGTGAATGTATATGCTATTTAGAGTATTTTTGTCAGGCACATTGAAATAAATCATAAAATGGATTTTTCCTATATAGATCCCACTTCATTCAGGTCCACATAAACTAGAAAGCACTTTAAAACCTTTATAGACACTCAGATACTCAAGGGGAAATACTGCCAGAAAAGCAGAGTCTTGGGTAGTTGTACCTGTTTCCCTGAGTATTATTCTAAATGTCCTCCTTCCTCTGGGATCCATTTTTCCCAGTCCCTCATCTGCAGGCCTCAGTGGCAGTCTCCAAACTTGAAATCTACATCTCATGAGCATGCAGATTCCTGACACAAGGTTCAACTAAATGGAGGCCAGTGATGGAGACTGGCCTCAGTCTAACTACGTTACCAACTACTTAACTGGAGCTGTGTGACGGCTTTGCCTGCCAATCATTCCTGTGCCCAACACTACATGTACATTGTAAGGACATCAGCAAGTTGAAAAGAAAGTGGAGGTGAACAGACACCCACTTTGGGCCACAGATCCATATATTCTATCAAATTCTAGTGCCTGGTTCATTAGTCAATAATCCATTTTTGAATCACAGAGATGCAAACAGGAAAAAAACAAAACAAACAAAAAAATACAACCTATCAGAACTTCCTCTAAATACTGTATATATTAATATGCCTTTATAGAGAGCTTTCAATATTCTGCGCCCTGAATTCCAGTTTTGTGTTCAAACTGATCATAAACCCCACAATTTTGGTCTCTTTTCTAAAACCCTTATTCCTCCTACCCAACACAGTGTTGTTACTCTTCAGAATAGCCCTTTCCTTCATTAGTTACATTTTGATCATCTACCACTCTGTTCACTTAATTCTATTCTTGTCCTCTTTAGTTGGGTTCCTACAGTCAATCCCCATTTTATTATGAAAACATTCACCTTCAAAATGATAACCAGAAAAAGTACTGAGCTTAGAATTCAAGAACCAAAGTTCAAATCTCATTGTTGCCACTTTCTCTACCCAGAAAAGTCCCTTTAATATCTTTAAATTTCAGGTTCATCCTCAAAACGATGATTTGGCCAGCCTGTCAAACACATGCTGAAAGACTAGAGGGTACTTTGACTAGTTGCTAAAATTCCTTAAAAATTCTGAAATTCTCTGAACTTTTGATTCTATCAACAGAAAATATTCAAATGACAAAATAAAACAATCACCAAGGGAGCAAAACAGAAAATAAAGATAGAAATTAAAGAAAAGATTACAGTCATAGAAAAGAAAAAAAGAGTATAAAAGTAAAAGTCTTCATAAAATGAACAGGGGTAGTAATTGAAGGGAAACCAACTAGAAAATCAGGAAGTAGAGAAATCAGAATGTCCTCTAAGGATTAATATAATTAATACAACATTGTCGAAACAATGGTATTCTTACTTCCAGAAAGATAATTTCTCTCCAGCACTTGCCTGATCTTGTTTATCAGAAAACCATATGGCCATAGCTCTGTGAGATTTTCCATAAAAGCTTTGATGTATTAAAAAAGCTGGTTACCAGTGGAACTGTTAAAAATGTCAGGACAAAATCTTGGACTATAACTAGGCTTCTCAGGTAAAATGTAAATCAGAATTAACACACAACAGCGTTTGACTTCTGAATTGATACATCTTGGTATCAACCTGTACAGTGGGCAACACAGTGGAGTTCTCAGCAAGGTAAGGCTATAGTCTAACCACGGCCCTGATACTTATTAATTAGGAGAATATGGAACAAATAGTCAGCCTCTATGAATGACAGCTGCCTGTTAATTAGTAATTAACAGGTTATAATATCACAGGCACTTCCAAAGTCTTCATGAGACAACTTTAGGAAACAAGTGTTAACTAATGTGGTGTCTGTCCCAGACTAGAACACTCAGCAAATACTTGGTTCCTTTTAACTTCACACTCTACTTAATTAATAGACAATTTTTTTAAACCTATAAATTCATACCTTATTAATGCGTCAGCTTTAGAACTTTCTTTCACTATTAAAGAAAACAGTAAAATTATATTTAATCAACAGAAATATAAAATATTAAAGATTTATGACTCTGATCTTTTGTTATAATAAAATATTCCTCCAGGCCCATACCTGGAAACATTTTTAGAATTAATATTAATTGTATTTCTGATAGGTAAGTAGTGTATTAACAACTCCTATGTCTCCTACTCTGTACTTATCAAATGCAAGAAACATGGAAATTATAAAATTTTGATACTTAAAAGTAAGTCATTTGTCTCAAAACCATGATCCTTACTCAAAACTGCAAGATGAAAGAAAACCTTATCATTGTCACATAAAGTAGCATAAAGATATCAGTGTCAAACAAGGGGAGACACAATGGTGGATTAGCAAGAAGTGGCTTTTTGCACAGCTCCAAGACATGGGACCAGAGAGGGAGAAAACTGCTTCTCTGTGAGGTAGGTGATGAAAGATGCCACCGATACTCAATACTGAACAGAGAGACTGGGAAACCGGGGAAGTTGGAGTGCATCAGACAAAGATGAGAAACAGAACTGGAGCTGAGGTACTGATGGGAGTGGGGGAAATGAGTACACGAGGACAGGAAAGACTGAAAAGTGCTGCAGATGAGGCACTGGGTCAATCCTCAGCACCACAGAAAAATTACTGCAGAAAGTGTTGGCATGCAGAACCTGGGACCAGAGGGGCAACCTGGCCTGGGAAGACTCACAAGCTATTCTGCTCCTTAAACTACTGCTTGGAAGTCACCCCTGCTCTGCCTGCTATGCACAGGGAGCTGAAGCTGGAGACATGTTTGCACATCTGCACTGCAGCGGCACCAACTCAGACTGGGAACTTAGATCCATGTGTTGGGGCCCAGTCCCATACATGAATCCAGCAGACACCAGCCACAAGCTCGAAAATGAGCCTAGCACATCAGGAGAATTTCTGGCATGGACAGCATTTTTCCTAGGGGTAATGTAAGTCAAAGAAGCCAGAGAGAGCCTGCCCTCCTCTTCCCTTGATACAGCACTGCCCAGGACCAGTGGCAGTGGCTTCAAAATCTGAATGAGCAAGAGGGATGGAGCTTGGTGTTTGGGGGCAGATCTCAGGAGGCCAGAAAGGACAGTACTCTTGAAAAACGGAGCTAGTGAAGAACTGGCTTCCCCTTCCCAAGAGTGTAGCGCTGGAGAGAAGAGGGGGGTAGAGTGCTAAAGGTGCGTTGATTCTTTTATGCCCAGTGACTCCCCATGCAATGAAACACCTGGGGCAAGGACTAGACCTCACTGCCTCCCCTGAGAACATCTTGTAGAACCCAGCATAACCTGTACCCAGGGGAGGAGCTGACAGCACCTCCCACAGCTAATCCCATTCCATGGAGAAGGGACAGAGCTTTGGCACAGAGAGCAAGCGTGTAGTCTCAGCGACAACCTGTGGTTTTTTCTTTAGTTTTTGAATGTACTGATGGATACATGATGAACATTTACACACTTTACACATGAACATTTGTTTTTGCTTTCTCATTTCTAGCAATCTCAAACATAGTTACTTTTCCTTACTCTGTTTTTTGAGGATTAAAGTTTTCAATTAGCATATTTTGGATTGATTTTGTATTCTGTTTCAAAATCAATCCAAAATATGCTAATTGAAAACTCTCTCCTCTTTAATTCCATTACTGCTTTTTTTCTCATTCCTCCTCATAAACACATCCTGCACTACCTCTGCATCTGCCATATTCCTATCTAGAAACCACAAATCCTTTTCTACCGGCAATTGCTTCTTTCCTCTTAATGAACTCTATTCTTAACTTCTAACACTAACTGGGGGTGGAGCTGACAGCACAGCTGGAGTTTACAGAACTCCAGACACCACCACTAATGCTACAGCAACCATTAATACAACTGAAGCCACAGGAACACCTATTCTTTGATTGTATGAAAGATGATTCAGGATTACTTACTGTCTTTACTGACAGAAATTGATAAGCCTACCATGTGTTTATTGTGTCAATTAACTTTGTGTGAAAATTAAAATTAAGTACTGAATTTAGTGCTACATATGTAGGCACAGTTGGTTGCAATAATTTGGCTCCCTACTAATCTGTGAGGCACAGGATATCTACAGGATCACTAGAAATGTGCAGACTAGAAGCTCTGTTGCTGAAGATCCATTTAGATACATGGGTAGACAGAGAAACAATATGAATAAGCAAGGAAACAAAGCATCCCAATCAAACCAGAATGACTCAACAGCAGATTCCACAGAAACAATAGTGGAGGAAATGTCAGAGAAGAAATTTAGAAAGTTTATAGTTAAACTGATCTATAAGATAAAAGATGATGTAAGGAGTGAAATCACACAGAAGACACAAGAAGGGAAAGATGACTTAAATAAGGATATAGAAGTTCTAAAGAAACATCAATCAGATATTCTCAAAATGAAGGAATTAATAAACCAAATTAAAAATTCAATGGCAAGCATCACCAATAGACTAGATGACTTGAAAGATTTTCAGGTAATGAAAGTAGTACCTAATATTGAAAATATATTTCATCATGGAGAAAAGATATTACCAGACCATGAAAA